TGCAAAAGAGAGAGGAGGGTGAGGCCGAGGCGAGGAAGGGTGACCCTATCTGGGAACAAACACATCGGCAGGCGCCATCCCACCAACATTACACTGCACCTTCGCCCCACCTTAACTCCTCCACTCTGAAAGGTGGAGTTGCTAGGGACTGGATGACAGGATGTTCCGTTTGGTAGGAATTAAACATTTAGTCATTTTGAAATGGCAATTTTCTTGTGGTGTTTCGGAGCCAATCAGTTCTTCCTAGGTCTCACATTTTCAAGGGCCACTGGGTATGCGGTGGTGAAAGCAGCCAAGACCCCACTCTCCCGCCAGGTATGGGGCCCCGGGGTCTGTGGGGTCACTTACAGGGAGTCGAAAGGCAGGGGCTTCTGTCCATAGCGATCCAGGCTGGGATTCTGGTTAAGACAGAACTGGGGCGGGCCAGAGGAATGGGGGGGCGTCCACTGAGTAGAGGGGACACGGACTCCCCCGCCGAGGCCCCGCAATAGCACTCTCTGCTGGGGATCTTGGCCCTGGGCACTGGGAGACCTTACTCTCGGTCTCCTCTCCCCCTTCCCGACCCCCGTGCTAGCCGCTTCTCTCCCACCCCCTCCCGGCCAGGGACGGAGCAGCGCCCCTACCTACCCGCCAGTTCTGGGTCACCTCCGGCTTCAAGTACCGCACCGCAGAGCCGCTGAAACTCTCGACTGCGGAGAGAGCGCCCATCTCTGGCCCCAACGCCAGCTCAGAGCAAGCCCCGCCCCTACACTTACCTGAGCCCCGCCCCTAGACCAAGCCACGCCCACGCCTGCTCCTAGAACCAGTCCCCGCTCCGGACTAAGCTCCGTCAGTCCCAGAACCAGCCCCGCTCTCCACCTCCGCCACACTGGCTCCCACTGGCTCGGACCTGGCCCCGCCCCCTCCCCAGGACAAGCCCTGTCTCTATGAACCTCAATCTGTCTGGGTCCAGCCCGCTCTGAGTGCCCCAGCTGCTCCTATCTCTCCTAGACCTGTCTTTGTCAGACCCCACCCCCGAAGCCCCCGCCCGCGGTCAGAGCTCGGGGTCAGGGCTCTAGGGACCCAGCGGCCCAGTTGTCTCTCCCACACTAAGGCATCCTCCCCGCCGGTAGACTGACCCTTCTTGCTTGGGCAGGGCAGCTTGCATTCGCCGGCAGAGGACACGAAGCGGGACCAGTCCTCGATGGCGCGCGTGAAGTTGGGCCAGTCGACCCTGTTGATGCCCGGTGCGATGGGCGCCAGCTTTCCCTCGCGGCACCTATTTCGGAGCCTCTGGCCGGTCGCCGTGATGTCCTGCCAGGACGAAGGGAGTCAGGGCGCGGGGGGCACTTGAACCATCTGACCCAGGGGGTTCCTGAAGCCCCTGAAGGAGATGCGAAGGGGGTAGGGTCCCAAGCTAGTAGCTGAGGAAGTGCGCGGAGTAGAGCCCAGCACTCGAGGTGCTTGGGGCTGGGTGCACGCGGGACCTTCAGGTCCCCAGAGCAAACCCAGGGCCAGGGCCAAAGGACACTCACCAAGCACTGCAGGGGTTTGTTGGGGACACCGAGGAGTGTGAAGTAGGCATTGTCAAAGTCATCTGAAGGAGAAAGAGAAAGGGAGGAGTCCACCAGTGGTTGCAGGCCCACACAGGAGAGGTTTGGTCCATACTGCTTTAAAAGGTTTTTGAAATACTTGACAACTTAAAAAAAATCTAAGATCAAGTGGATTCTTACTTAACACACCCCATTCAACAAAACAAACTCCAAATAGATAAAAAACTTCAATGTAAAATAATGAAACCATAGACGTACTAGAAGAAAACATGGATAAATTTCTTTATAACCTTGGGGTGGGGGAGGCCTTACCAACTCTAATTCAAAATCAGGTAGCCTAAAGAAAATGTTGATAACTTGGACTACATAGAAATAAAATTCTGCATGGCAGCATAAGGAAACATAAGGAAAGTCAAAAGACAAATGGGAAAAGAATATTTCCACTTATTTTGTAGATGAGGTGCAATTTCCCTAATATTGAAAGAATTCCTATAAATCAAGACAAAATAAAATAAAATAAAACAAAATAGAAGAAAAAGAGAAAAAAAGAAAAATAGGTAAACAGTCACACACAAACACAAGAAATACAAATGGTCCCTAAACTATGAAAAGACACTCAGCTTCATTCATAATAAGATGCATGCATATTCAAACTACATTGATACCAATTTTTCATATCAGATTGGAAAGAATCCAAAAGTTAATGCAGTTATCAGAAACAGGGCCATTGCCATATGTTGCCAGCGGGGGGTATAAATTGATTTGAGCCTATGGAAAGAAATTGGCATTATCTATTGGAATTATAAATACACATACCTCTTGACCCTATAGTCCCACTTCTGGGAATTTATCCTACTTCACAGTTGCACAACTGGGAAATGATGTGGGTAGAAAGTTTACCCATTTCAGCATAGTTTGTAATAGAAAATGATTGGAAATAACTCAACTGTCTGTCATTAAAGGACTGGTTAAATAAACTATGATTCATCCTCACTATGCCTTGATTAAAAATCTTGATTCAAAACCTTCCAAGGTGCAGAAGAGTATATGCCTTTATATGGCTTTAAAGCCTAAAGTTGAGACGATTGGAGGCAAAGAAGAATATAGATTCAGGTCATCACCTAACCAAGTCATCAAACTTAGCATCACGAATAGTGGGATAATGACATTATGCGCCTCCTGCTGAGCCATCATGGCAAATATGGCATCCAACACCTGTGAAAGCTCCTACAATCAAGCTTCTACACCTATCTTCTAGTTTACAGAAAATAGACTATCAAGGTAAGCAACGCCATAAGGAAACAATCACTCAAATTCACAATGTAGGACTCCTGTACAATAAAACTGTTTTGGACTCTTTAAAAAGTTAGTATTATGAGGGAAAAATGGAAAGTGGGTAGACTGTTTTAGACTAAGACCCAAGAGACATGACAACAAATTACAAGGTACAATCCTAGATTGAATCCTGGTTCCAAAAATTTTTTGACAGCTATAAAGGACATCTTTAGGGATAATTGGGGATGTTTTAATATGGACTGAATATTAGATATTAGGGAATTATTTTTAACTTTCCTAGATGTGATAATGGTATTGAGGTTGTTTCTATCATTGGGAACTGCTTGCTAAAGTGTGTGTGTGTGTGTGTGTGTGTGTGTGTGTGTGTGTGTGTGTGAGAGAGAGAGAGAGAGAGAGAGAGAGAGAGAGAGAATGAAAACAAATATGTCAAAACGTTCATTGAAGCAGGTGGAAGGCAATGAATGTTCATAGTATTAGTCTTTCAACCTTCCTCTATGTTTGAATATGTTCCTAATAAAAAAAGTTGGGGAGGAAGAGAATAGGTTGTATTTACAGTAAAATGGAAGGATTCAGAAGGAGCTCAGAGTGGTTACCTGTAAGTGGGGATGGCAGGGGAAGAGTGAGAATTTTTTAAATGTACATTGTTACAGCATTTTGAGTTTTGAAACTGTGACTCCATTGCTTTTACTAAAAACATACTTGCAATAATCAAGAGCTCTCCCTAAAAATCTAGACTCCTGGCCTCTCCCGGAAGCCAGGAAATTGGTAGAACTGTGCTGACCTTTCCCACACAGTATCAGCAGGACCCCATAGCTGCTCCCCTTCGGAGGGGGGTGTCGGGACTCCACCTCACCTTTCACCCCTTCCCCCCACTGCATCCTCACCCACTTCCCGTATTTGTGTTTCCCTTCCTGGCCCTGCAGGGGTCTCTGTGGGGCCTCTGGAGATCTCCCTGTAGTCTCTGACACCCTCACTCCACCTGCCACCGGGCTCTGAACCTGGGTATCACCCTGGACTCCTCACTCTTGCCCCTCTACCCACACTGGTACAAATCGTGTTACTTTATCTCCTAAATACCTTCCAAATCCCTCCCCTGTGGCCAGACACTATCACTACTTCCTGAACACTGTGGTCCCTCCCAGTGTCCTAATCACTCACCCTCCCCCCCATCATCCGCTTCTAGTCTCTCTGGGTCACCCACTCCCCATGGCCCCAATGCTTGGGCCTCTTTCCATCTTAAAGTCTTCAGAGGTTCTTATCTACCTCCCCAGGAAGCCCAGACCCCTGAGCTTAGCCCTCCCTGCCACTGAGCTTAGCCATCCGCAGCCACAGCTCCTGCTGCCCCCGCACTCCTTATCCTCCCACCTAAACACGCCCCTCAAGTTCACCAACACCTCACGCAGCTTTTCCCCTCCAGGCCTCTGCATGTGCTGTTCCCGCTAGCTGGAGCGCCTTTGTTCCAGGCACAGTGTCAGGCACAAAGCAGGCAATTAATAAATATGCTGGAATGAGTGAGTGTGGGTGTCTGTGTGGCACCGCTATCTCCATACCCAAGCTTCTCAATCGATGAAGGGTTCTTCCTTAGCCCCGTGTGGCCCTTTACCCCAAAGGCTCCCATGTCCACGTCTCTTTCATGACAGGTGTCTTTCTCTTCCTTTTTCAAAGGGAGAGATGATTGGGCAGAAGTTGTTATTATTGCTATTATTATTCCTCCTCCTCCTCCTGCAACTGCTGGCCTCTGCACAGTTCCCTCTCCATTAATAATAACAACATTATTGTTGAGCACATATTATGTGCCAGGCACTACTCCAAGAGCTTTTCATGCCTTATCTCATTTTAATCTCAAAATAGCCCTGACAGGCTGGCACTGTCAGCATCCCCATTTTACTGATAAGGAAACAGAGGCTCAGACCTGGAGGATACCCAGGCAGGGCGGAGCAGAGCTGGGGCGACTCCCTTTAACCCTTTCACCTGCCACTCATGGTTTCTCCCTCCGAGATCTCTCTCTTCCAAACCACCCACGCCTTCCCCGAAGGCCCAGAGGGGCTGGTGGTGGCCAGGTGGCCTGACCTTTGCCGCAGTAGGTGGTGGACTGGCAGTGCTCGTCGGAAAGGCAGGCCCTGACGGAGTCCATGTCCATGCGGCGCAGGCTGGGCAGGGCTGGGTGGTAGAGCTGCTGTTTCACGCTGGCCAGCTTGTTGCGCCGCTGTGCCACGGGCAACAGGATGGCAGGGGATGCGTACACGTGGGTGGAGCCGTCCTCCCAGGGCACCAGGTTGATGATGCGGGCCATGGCTGGGGGGGGGGCAGAGACACCCCAACCAGACACCCTTCTGTGTGGGAACACAACCTTGGCCAGTGCCAATTTATCTACTCGTCCAACAGGTACTGACCACCTACTGTGTGCCAGGAGCTGTGGTGGGGTCAGGGACGCTCAAATACACACACACACAGAGGATGTGCTGAGTACCCCGGCAGAGGTCAGTACAGGGGATGTGTGTCTGAGGAGGCTGGAGGATTCAGCGAATGGTCTAAAAAGAGATGCCATTTGTGTCTGTTCTTCAATAATGAGCAGGAAGCGGCAGCAGCAGCAAGTGGATTCACAGTTGAGCTCAGTCTGCCTCTGGGTAATTAATTATGGGCTTCTGGCCTTAGCTAAGGTATCTGGCATTTACTCAACATTCTACAGGGAGACATAGAAAGGTTTTAAATAAGGGGAGAGACGTGATAGACAGGAACTAGAAAAAATATGGCTGGTTCCCCAGTCCTTCGTTTTAAAAAGTGGATATTCCCAGAGCCTTTGAGTCATTTAAACTTTAGTGAGAATTTGTTGAGTCCCGTTGCTTTCTTCCTGACCCCAGTTGGAGGTGAGAGATGGAGGTGGGCGGTAGGGTGGTGGGCAGGAGGAGAGAGGACCTTGGGCCATGGAGGAGCACGGAGAGGGCATGGCGAGCAGATGGGGAAGCCGCCTCGAAGGCTGGGCCTTCGTGGGGAAGGGGCAGGGAAGTAGGAAGTGAGGGTAGAGGGGAGAGAGGGCTCCCTGCTCCTGGTCCGCCACAGTGGTACCTCACCTGCAGGCCGCGGGCCCCAGGTGCACAGGCTTACAGGGATTTTCCGCTCTGCCGACCGCTCAATGGGGAAAAGAGGCAGGGAGATGGGCCGAGGCCCAGCGCCTTTTGAGGCAGTAGGAGAATAAAGGGACATTCTGTGGAGACAATGCCCATTGCAGCCTGATTGTGAGGGCACCGGCTCCTCGGCAACCATGACAACCGGAGGCTCCGAGGAGCGGAGGCTGCTGCCAGGGGTCCTTGCACTGGCCCCCTCTTTCAGCCTTCCTGAAGGATGCCGTCTCCCAGGCCTCACACTGGCTGGGCATGTTGGGAAAATCAGACAAGGAGCTGGGTCTCCCTGGGGGTGGCCATGCCAGGGCTGGCCAGGGCCGGCCAGGGCAGGCTGTGTGACCCTAGACTACATACTGTCTGTCTCTGGGCCTCAAAGCTCCCATCTGTGTTAGGCAAGGGCCCCCGGCCCTGCCGGGACGAGTGCCTGTGAGCTGGCAGGGCTCACGGACACTTGCTCCCCTCCTTACAAGCCTCACGGAAGAGGGCACTGCCCTGCCTGCCAGTCCTTGAGTCTCCAGAGGTGGAGATTAGTGGCTTCCAGGATCCAGGGTCAGCATAAGGGGATCAGGGAGAGTGGTGGCCTCAGCAGGACAGGGATTAGCAGGTGATACTCTCCCTGCAGGCCTGCAGCCTCCCTCCCACCTTCCCAAAAAAGCGAGGTCATGAGGTCCTAAGCCCAGCACCCTGAAGCCCTGGGGCCTGACCACCATCAAGGTCAGAACCACTGGGGGAGTTCCCTGGCGGTCCAGTGGTTAGGACTAAGTGCTTTCACTGCCGTCGTCCGGGGTTCAATCCCTGGTCAGGGGACTAAGATCCCACAAGGCTCGCAGGGAGGCCAAAAAAAAAAAAAAAAAAGAACCACTGGAGGTGGACCCTGGACCCTGCCCCCGCATCCCCGTGAGGAAACCCTGGGGAGACTCTTAACTTATTTGCATATCTTGGCACGTGCTTTTGCATACACCTGCCCAAGTGCTGAGCCTGATGGGCCCTGGCATCCCTACTGTGAGATTCAAGTAGGATTTGGCTCCCTATTTGCTTCTCCTCCAGTGCCCCATCCAGCCCCAGAGCAGCAGCCCCAAATCCCACCCCTTAAAGAAAACTTTCCCTGAACTTCATTCACCACCCCATCACAATTTTTTTTAAAAACTCTTTTAAAGTTAAAAATATAACAAAATCCAGAAAGTGCATAAATATATAATGTAACTCATAATTTATAAAGTGAAACCCTGTGTAACTACCAGTCAGGTCAAGATATGGGTACTACTTTGCAAAACTGTGTAGCAGTTTCTTAAAAAGTGAAACATAAATTTACCATATGACCCAGCACTTCTACCCCTAGGAATCTTCCCAAGAGACATGAAGATATATGTCCACACAAAGACTTGCATGCAGATGTTCATAGCAGCATTATTTATAATAGCCAAAAGGTGGAAACAACTTAAGTGTCCATTGACTAGCGGATAGGTAAACAGACTAATATATCTATGCCATGGAAACAGACTGTATGCCATGGAATACTCTTGGGAATTAAAAAAAGAAATGAATTATGGATACGTGCTACAATGTAGATGATCATCAAAACATTATGCTAAATGAAAGAAACCAGACACAGAAACACTCCACATATTATATGCTCCATTTATATAGAATGTCTAGAAAAGGCACATGTTTAGAGACAGACAGCAGATTAGTGGTTGCCTGAGGCTGGCGGGGGGAATGGGGAGTGATTCTAACCAGCATGAGGGATCTTACTGGGCTGATGGAAATGTTCTGAAACTAGATGTTGCATAGCTCAGTAAATTTACTAAAAATCATTGAGTTGTACCCTTAAAACTGGTGAATTTTACAGCATACAAATTATATGACAATAACGTTGTTTTAAAAAATTGATGTCTTTAGATAAAGAAAGCAAGTTAGGGCCCCGCCAGCCCCTAGAAGCTTCCCCATACCCCTTCTCAGTCCCACCTCCTGCAAGAGGTAACCACTCTCCTGGCCGAGTAGTATAACCACTGCTTTTCTTTATAATTTTACTACCTATGTTTGCAGCCATAGACAAGACAGGCTAATTGTGCCCTATTTGAGCTTTGTACGCATGGGCCATTGGGGTCCTTTGAGTCTGGCTTCTTTCCCTCCGTATATATGCACACGAGAGTCATCCAACTGGGGTGTATCTGAGGTTCGTTCATTTGCCTCACCCTAGAGCTCGTTACTCTTCAGCCAGGCCCACCTGACTCTGACCACTGGCCGGGCTCCACGCCCCCAGGTTGCCGAACCTTGGGGCCCAGGTCAGCCTCCGCTCACACGGTGGCCCCACGTGGCCAATCCTCCCCCAACACACTCAGCCGTCTTGGCTGCAGCAAACCCGGCTTCCTGGCTCTTCCCCTACCCCACCAGCAGCTCTTTCAGTCTCCTTTCCTAGCTCCTCCTTCTTTTCCCAACTTTGAAATGTGCCAGTGTGCTCCAGGCATCATCTCTGGTCCTTCTCTTCTTTACTTTTGATTCAGTGAGTCCTGTGGCTTTAAGCATCATCTACAAGCTGAGCTGATGCCTCCGAAGTTTCCATCTCCAGTCGTCCACCTCTCCCAGACTCCAGACACCCGCCACCCCGCAAAACACACCTCTCACCACCTGGTGCACATTTCCACTCAGATGTGTCTCAGACAACGAAGTAGAGCCCATGATTCTCCCCAAACTATTCTACGCCACAGCCCCAGGCTCCCTCTTTTCAGTAAATGGCACCACCTGCCAGTTGCCTAAGCTGAACACCCTCAACACCTCCCTTTGCCCTCCCCTCCCCTTTTCTCTCTCCTGCCACTTGCTCGGTCCAAGCCTCGTCATCTCTGCACTGGCCTCTGTCGAGCTGGAGGCAAGGGTGAGCATCACCCATGACGCTGGCCGTCACTTGCACACCCAGGCAGAGCAGTAGAGCTCACTGTCCTCTCTGGCTGGAGGTGCCATGGGGAGGAGCGCTGATCCCCAGCAGCCCGGCGTATCGACAGAGCACGGCAGAAAGGACATTCTCCCACACCGGTTGCCTTGGGGGTGGTTGCATATCAGAGGTTCTGCACAGGAAGGAGAGGACAGGGGTCGTCCAGTCACAGACTGGTTTGTTCCACCGCTACCTCCTGACTAGCGCCTTGTTTCCACACCTGCCCACTACAAAACAGCCGCACAGGTGGCGTCCGGCCCCTGTTCTAAACCACCATGGGCTTCCACGGGCCATCAGCTAAAACCCAATCTTCTGGCCGTGGCTTACAGGCCCTACCTGATCTGTCCTGGACCTCATCTCCCACCACTCTCCCCTACACCCACTAAGCCCCTGGCCCCCGCTCTGCTCTTCAGGTGCTCATTCCAGCCTCTTCGTAGAGGCGCCTGTGCCACTCCCGCTTCCCGCCACCTCACACACGCCTCTGCCCTGTGTGTTTCTTTCATGGCACTCAGCATATCTGCAATATTTTTAAGTTCATCATTAATCTTTTTTACTTCTGAATCTTCCATTGGAATGTGAGCTCCGTGAGGGCAGGTCCTATTTCTGTCCTTCTCAATGTGCCAAGGCTGGCAAGCTGCCTGGCACACAGGCAAGGTCGAGAAATGTTGTAGGTGATCAAGTCCCCTGCCCCTTTGCTAAACAGCCCACTGCCCTGCCCCCCACCCAGGTCCTGTCACCTCATTGAGCCCCTTTGTGCTGGGCCTCTGCCCCTCTCCCGCTCTCCCCTGAGATCGCCATCCCCCTCCAGGGTTCGACCTCAGTTCAGGAGGCCGGCTTGGATGCAGTCAGTCATCTGTCCGTCCTTGGGTCCTCCCTAAAGGCCCAGCCCTGGGACCACAGCCATTCTGGTGGATCCCAAGGCAGGGGGTGCTGAGGCCCTGCCCAAGCTGCAGAAGATTCTGAGACAGAGGGACTCTGCTTGAGTCCCTGCATTGGGGCTGCAGAGCTGGAATGTGCCTCCTGCCACTGCTGACTGAGAGTTGACAGGCCCCTGCTACCTTGAGGAGTCTCCCAGAACCACCTGGGGACTCCAAGCTCTTATCCTCCCACCAGCTGCTCTGTGGGTTGGCCACGGTACGCAGGGAACCAGGTCCCCTGGCAGCTCATGGTGCCTCAAACCAGGGCCATGTAGGGCTCCTTCCCCGGGGCCGATTCCTGGGGGCCCCTGGGGTTTGCTGCCGGCTCCCTCCGCATCAATGTCTTCTCTTCCACTGCCACCTCCCCACCCTCTTTAGAACCTCCTAATCCTTTGCATACGGGCCGGCCCGGCTGCTGCCAATTAATCCCCTCTGTGTCTGAGAGGCCAGCTGAGAGAGGCAGGAAGAGGCAGTTCCTGGCTGGTGGACGGCATCTGAGCAGGTAACTCAGGGTGAGGTCGCGGCTCCGTGCGACCCCCGATGAGACTCCCTCCGTGCTCTTCTCCCATCAAGCCATTTGGACATGGAGAAGCCGGCAAGGCTGGAAACCCGAGGCTTCTGTCTTCCCCTGTGAGGCTCAAACCTTAGTGACTCTCCAAGGCAGCTTGTGAAATACGGATTCCAGATCCTGCAGAGGGTTTAGAGGGGCCTAGGAATCTGTATCTTCCGCAGCTCCCCGGAAGGCTCTGAAAGGCTGGTGGTCCAAGCACTGTTGTTGTTCTGGGTACCACTCCCAGGCCCCCCTTCCCTCCTGCGCCTCCCTCATCAATGTGGAATCAGCAGCAACAGGGCAAAAAGATGGGAGGGGCCTGCACGTGTTTCTCTGCAGGAAGAAGTGGCTGGGTCTGGGGGAAGAAGGGAAACTGGGAGTGGGGAAGGCTTCCCTAGTCATTTCCAGAAGGTTCAGAAGCACAAGCCAGCATTGCTGCCTGCTGTCAAACGGCTTGCAGGACTGGCCTGCAGAAGCAGCCGATCCTGGGCAAACGTCAGTACCTCCGGGGTAGATGTAGGACACCTGGAGCCAGGCAGACCTGAGTGTAAACTCAGCTGGGCCGCTTACTGGCTGTGTCACTTTGGGCAAGTCTGCTGACCTCTCTGTACCTCCATTTCCTTGGCTATGAAGTGGTGATGAAAACGCTTATTTACTGAGGCTGAGTGGGAGGAGGTGAGGATGAGGTGATCATGGCTTACGGGGCTGCCTGGGCTGGCTGGGATCGGTGGAATCTGCCGTCCTAAACATGCAATCTTGGGCTCTACCAACCTTGGAAATCAGTGTTTTTACCCCCATACCCAACAAGGAAATGGAAGACCAGAGGTGTCATGTCTGGCCCAAGTCACATTTTTGGCGGCTGAGCCAGGGATCTGACCCCCCACTCAGAGCTGTGTCCTGCAGCACAGCTTCGCTTAGGAGAAGCTGGGCTGCTGAGGCCAGAGCAGGGACAGGAGTCAGAGCTGTGAGTAGTAGGGCAGGCAGCATGGCCGGGGCTGCGGGAAGATGGGCACTGGGGCAGGGGTCCTGGGCCCTGTGCCTGCCCTTTGCAGCCTGTGGCCAGGGTCCCTGGCAACGAGAGACAGAGAATACCTTGGCTGCCCATGGCTGGGGGGAGGGAGGATACACCATGCCGGGCACGGCCTCCGAAGGGCCCTTCAAGGCTGGGAGTTTGCATATATTGACCTGTGTGGCGCCCGCTGGGCCAGGCCATCCTGCAGGGATTTAGTCATAAGGGCAGGGCTGCCCATTCCCTGAAAGTAAATGATGCCAGAAACTGAGCCCGTGTAAGGTAGGGCTGAACTATTGCAGTAAACCATGAAAAAAGGGGCTTGTTATTTTCTCTTAAAAATTTCTAGATCATGAAAATAGGTTGATTTTTATCTTATATTAAACAAAAACTATTTTCCATTCATATGCTGCTCATAATGTATTTTTAAAAATTTATAATGGGATTATGCTGAACATGATAGTCTAGCATTAGCATTTTTGCTTAACATCCAATGATAGTCACAGCCAACATTTATTAAGCTCTCAGTGTGTGCCAGTCACTGTTCTCATCAGTTTATTTTATCCTCACATTAACTTCCACAAGATAGCTACTATTTATTAACACCCCCATTTTACAGACAAGCAAACTGAGGCATGGAGCATTTAACTGATTTGCTCATGACTGGAGTCCAAAGCATGTAGATATTTCCATGTTAGTTCAAATTGATCTACTTTAAAAAATGGCTCCATAATATTCCATTATTGGATGTATTATAATTTATTTAATCTGTGCCCCTCTTACAGAAGACCGATTAGATACTTCCCAGTAACCAGTCTCCTACTGATGGATATTTGGATGTTTTTCATCTTTTGCTCTAACACTGTTGTGACCGACCTCTTTACACACATATGTCTGTGGGCTTGAGTATTTCTATCAGGAAAATACCTGGAGGTATAACTGCAAAGATATTTTTAAAGATGAAGGAAAAGGGAAATATATAACTCACAAAAGGAGCCCATGAATGGTGGGAGCAACTGTGAGCATTCTGGAGGGGCCTAAGGACTCGGTCCCCTACAGGTGTCAGGATGCTGGGCTGGGTCCAGAGGGTGCTGCCTCAGACCCCAGGGACACCAGCGAAGACCAAGAGAGAAGAGGAGGAGGGGGCAGAACCAGAGCCAGAGTTGGAGCCGGAGCCTGAAACAGCCCCTGAGGAGACTGAGCTATTGGAAGAGTCCCGGGTAAGAACTGAATGGTGAGGAAGGGCACACTGGCCTCACTGCTCGGAGAATCCCCATCTCAGGTCAGCTGCCCCCAGCGACCTTCCACAACAGAGAAAATTGGAGCCAGAAGGAAACGTGGCGGTCACCTGGTTCTGTAAACAGCCAGATAGTAAATATTTCAGGCTTTGTAGGTCATGCCATCTCTGTTAATTACTCAACTCTGCCACCGTAGTGTGAAAACAGCCATAGACAATACGTAAATGAATGAGCGTAGCTGGTTGTGTTCCGATAAAACTTTATTTACAAAAACAAGCAATAGGCTGGATTTGGCCCACTGACCATTGTTTTCCAACCTCTAGAGCTACTCAAAGTAGCCAGTCCATGAACTGTTTGTTACCAGTCCAGGAGGCGATCAGAAGCTTGCCAGATATAATTTACTATATAAGTAAGCACACTGCTTAGTTCAGCTGTATTTGTTTTTCAGTAAGACTTTCTGCATGAGGGAAGCAGTGTGTTGCAATACATTCTGCTGCAAACTGCTTAATCACTGTGGACCAGTAACAGTTTGCAGACTGACACTGGTTCCTGGACCACATTTTGAGCAACACTGCTCTAGAACTTTCAGTCAGGCACATCAAACTTCCCAGCTCTGTATCCCATTCATTCGAGAACCTGATGACAACCAATTCAGAAACTCAGACAGATTTGATTTTGCTTCTAATTGATGCCAGGCCTGTGTGCAGTGCCGGGAGCACAGTGATGAATAAAGCATTGCCCCTGGGGGTCAGCAGACGAGAACCCAACCAGGTTATATTCTTCTAGGAGACAGAGGTGATGAGGGAAGGTGGGGAGCTTCAACAGCATCCTCAGCTTACCCTTCTGGGAGGACCAAATAAGTGTATCAGGCTGGAAACTCTGGGAGCTCAGAGGAGAGAGCCATCTTAATCCTGGAGATTGGAAGCTGGTGGAGGAGTGCTTCCTAGCCACAGTGGGCTGGGCCAAATCGTAACTGGAGGAGATGAAGAGGTGGGGCCTTCCTGGCAGAGGAAAGGCTATTACTGGGTAATGCAGGGTGTGTTTAGGAAACAGTGAACTATCCAGGTATAGGGTTGCTGTGCATATGTGTTTGCATGTGCACACATGTGTATGTACATACATGTGCGCCTCGTGTTCTTAGTGGTATGTTTGTGTATGCATGTGTATTAGCAAACTGTGTGCCCAAGAACACATGCATGCCGATTCACAGGTGTGTGCACACACATACATGTGCGCACATATACGTGTATGTGCACACACATTCATGTGCCTGTAGTTCCATGTGCATGTGGGGCATGCTAGTGTGTATAAGTGTGTGTTTCTGAGTCTGTGAATCTATTCATGTGTGTGTGCATGTATGCTCGTTTGCATATCTGTGCTTGTGTGTTTGTATGGATGGACATATTGGTATGTGCCTGCATGTTTGTATATATACATATTTTGTGCACCTGTGCATGTATGCACATCTATGTGTGTATTTGTGTGTTAATACACATATGAAATAATGTGTTCATGAGTGCATGTTTGTGTGTCAGTGCAGGTATGAGTGTGTATGTGTGTATATGCCTGTTTATGTGGCTGAGCATGTATATGTACATGTGTGTACACACAGATATCTGTGCCTGTGTATATATGCAGATATATTGTGTGCATATGCATGTTTGTATGTCTGTGTCTGTACACTTGCAGATATTTGCACGTGTGTGCATCTGCATGCATGCACATGTGTATAGGCACAAGTGGGCATGTGCTTATATGCACATGTGTGTGTGTTGGGGCATGCACGCACATGCAAATGTATATGCACATGTGCTTTGTGCCTTGCATGTGCACATCTATGTGTGAGCAGATGGACTTATTTTTGTGTCAGCTCACATGTGTATGCATGTGTGTATACACACGTGTCTGTGTGTCACTTTCTGTATACACATGTGCTTGTGTGTGTCTGTGTATGTGTGAAGTATATGAGAGAGAGTGTATTAGCGTATGTGCGCACACGTGTTAGTGTGCCTGTATGCATGTGCATGCTTGTCTGTACCTGCACACATGCACACACATGTTAGTGTGTCTGTATGCATGTGCATGCTTGTCTGTACCTGCACACATGCGCACACAGCAGCAGAGGTGCAGCTGCAGAGGCAGATGAGAGGCAGAGGGCAGAAGCTGAAGGCCGCCCAGCTACTAGGGGGACAATGGAAGGTTTGGAGCAGAATGAGAGGGAGCTGGCTGGGGGCTGGCCGAGGGCTGGGCTCTTCCTGCCTCCTCCTCCCCTCAGTTGCCCCAAGGCCTTGTAACTCTCTTCCTCTTTCTTTTCAGGTCACTTGAGTGGGGCAGCTTCCTGGGGGATGTGATAGGCCTGGGGGGCACCTTGGGGGGTGGCGTGGTGAGGGCCCAGCCCTGGATGAGGCCTGGGGCTGGGAAGAAGGGAGTGTCCCAGGTGGAAGGTGAGGCCACCAGGATTTACAGAGACCACTGTGAGAATAGAGCTGTTTGATCCTGTGGGGGGTCGGTTGTGAGGAGGATCAGGGGCTGCTCCTGCCTTAGGCTAGTCTCTCTGAGGGTTTACATGGTCCTGTTTGAACCCTCCAGCCACCTGAGGAGGCCTGCGTGGGGAAGGAAGTGGCTGAGGCTGATCCGGGCCCTCAGGGTGAGTGCTGGAAGCCCAGGCTGGCAGGGTGGCTGGAGGCTGGGAAAGGGCTGTGTTCTCCACTGCTCGGAGCCTTGCAGCAGCCCACCACGTTGGCAGACCCATTTCACAGATGAAGAAACTGAGGCTCAGAGAAGCTAAGAGTGGGCTCCTGGGGACCTTTTAGCTGAGCTGAGCTGGAACTCTGGGCTTCTGACTCCCTCAGGGTTCTCCCCTCTCCTCTGCCTCTGACTTGACCTCCCCAGCAGGGTAGAAACAGGTCTCTCTGAGGCTCCAGTTCTAAAGTATGAGGGACTCCTTTCCAGAAACCCAGGAGGCTGCCCCTTCTCCGCCCACATCCCTCCAGGCTCAGGTCGCTGTGGTTCCGGAAGCGAACAGGTACTGCACCACCCTCCCCTCTCCTCCGGGCCAGCCACCCACCCAAGCTAGGGAGCCATTGAGGGGGTGGGGATGGGCACTGCTCTCAGGTCTACAGTTACTCCCAAGCAAAGGCCCAGAACATCTTAGGAATTGGCTGAAGGGAGGCTCAGGCAGAGGTGGGGGTCTCCTCGGCCAAATGGACCATGTGGCCAAGAGAAATGGAGCGGGGGGACCAGAGGTTTCTCAGTGCTTGGGTGAAACTCAGGTTAGTGTGGCCAGAGCTTCTGATTTTCCCAATGAAGACAGAAATCCAGACTTTTCCATGAAATCTCCCAGATAGCTCAGATATTTTAGACCCTTGGTACTCATCCAAGTAAGTGTGTCTGCAGAGGGTGTGGAGGGCTGGCCTCAGACGGTGAGTCTGTGACCCTCATGTTTGGGCTGACTAGCCTCCATCACAAGGAAACACCTCACAGGAAACTCAACCCTTTCAGAGCACAAGACATGTGCCGAGTGCAGGAGGGGCCCCCTGGAGCCAGGCTAATGGGGCAGCAGGGTGATACGGTGATGCTTTTACTGAGTATCTGATGGCGGTGGGCTTGGAATGGCACCAAGGGTTGGCATCCCCCACTTTCCAGAGAGGGACACGAGGTTCCAGGAAGGAGGTGATGTGTCTGAAGTGTCACAGTGGGGAGACAGAGGTTTGGGGTTCAAACCAACTTCTTCAGGGTGCTGTGCACTGCCGTGCCGACCAGAGGGGGGCTGCGGACACTGAGGGCAGCCCGGTATCTCTGTCTCTCAGTGGTCCCAGCAGCCGGGTGCTGACCTGGCTCAGAAAGGGTGTGGAGAAGGTAGTTCCACAGCCCGTCCACAGTGGCAGGCCTGCCCAGAGCACCGCTGCTGGCTTGGAGGGTCCAGCTCAGGTACTACTGGGGCCGGGAGCTGAGGCAAGCCGGGTGGGGAAGGGGCGGGAGGAAGGCTGATGGCCCTGGACTCTCTGCCCACATCTGTCTGTCTGTCCCAGCAGGCAGGAGGACAGATCCTTGGGCACTGCAGCACTGGGGGCTCAGGTAAGGCCAGGAAGCAGGATGGCTTAGGGGTGGGCTCAGGGACTGTTGCGTTGGGCCCTGCTCCCCGGGGTGAGTCCACAGGGCCAGAGCTTCTCATCTGACTTGGCCCGGGTTCGAACCTGGGTTTGAGTTGGGCTAACCGGGGAGCTCCGGGCAGGCCTCTTGTTGCTGACCGGCTTCCTTTCTTCTGCAGATGGACACAGTGAGGCCCCCAGGGCCCAAGACACCGGGTGAGTCCCCATCCTTGAGCCCCATCTGTAGTATGTGTGGTGGGCTCAGCATGCCCAGAGCCCAGGGTCCACCACCGCCTGTGTGTGACCTTGGACATGCCCCTCATCTCTTCTGAACCTCACTTTTCTCATCCACAAAACCGGAACGATGGGTTCGGTGCTGCTCAAGGTTTTTTGTGCTGATTACTGAGAGATCCCTGGGTGGGGGCCACCTTCCGAGGATGGGAGAAGGCATGGATGAGCTCCTCAGAGATGGGCCTCGAGTAGGTGGGTGCCGTGTGAAGCCCGGAAGCAGGGCCTGGGCTACCGTGGGGGACATTGGGGTGCCCAGGTTGGCCTCACGGTTGGCAAGAGCTTCAGACTTCTCAGAGCTGACCGAGGCGGGTGGCAGGCTGGATGGGAACCGTGGCAAACGGGGGAGCCCATGTCTCTCTCCAGAGAGGGGCCCCACTGAACTCCACTTCCCTCTGCCCTGCAGGAGTGCTGACCTGGTGTGGCCAGATCCTCCAGTTTTTCAAGAGAAGCTAGAAATTTAGGTTTTTACATATTCCTTAATTTTTAGATGTTGCCAACGAATTGAAAAGTTTTCAAAAACACTGTGAGCTCCCGCAATAAACCTGAAGGCTCCAGTTTGCTGCGTCTCTGCTGGAAATTCAGAGTCACGCCTTCATCTCCATTCACCCCACCCATTCATTCCTTCCCTCATTCATTCATTAGACTGTCAGGTCCTTGAGCACGGGGGCTTTTGTCTCAGTCACTGCTGAACGCCCTGGTGCCCAGCACAGTGCCTGCCAGACGAAGGGGACTCAGCACAGAAGGGATGAATGAATATATGAATGAATGAATGAATGAATATGTACAATCACACACTCCATTCATTCATCCATTGCTCCAGTTTGCTGTCTATTTCTTTTGTCCCCTGGAGGCTGCCCTGGTCATGGGTCCCCAGGGCCACTCCGCTGACTTGTGAGACCAGTAAAACGATTTAGGATGAGGGCACCCAAAGGACTTGCCAGCTTCTTTGGGGGCCGTATCTGGGGGATGGGTTCCCCTGGGAGCATGGAGCTTCCCTGAAGAGGACAGGGCTGCCTGGAGGTCAGATGGATCTGGGGACCCAACGTTTGTCCCAGGGCCAGCTACATAATTGGTGGGGCCCAGTGCAAAATGAAAATGTAGGACTCCTTTAAAAAAAAATTATTAAGAGTTTAAGACAGTGACGATAGAGCATTAAACCAAAAATGGGCCCTTTAAGTATGAGGCCCTGTGTGACCACACTGCTCACATACCCATGAAGCCAGAGCTCTCTGTCCCAGTCACAGGGAGGCCCCCAGGCTGCATTCAGGTCCCCAGGCAGCCCCCGTTCTCATCTGTGCCCAGGAGGCCAAGGCTGGGCCTGTTGTTCCAGAACCTGTTCCAGCCCTGGGTCAGAATTTCAGGTTGGTGGAAGTCCCCCACCCCGGAGGCCCTTTAAGAGTATCGAGTCCAAGGTCCCCAGTGTGCAGAATGGGAGCTGAGGAAGGGCTGCTCAAGGCCTGGGACCCCAGCAGGTGGTCAGGACAGCGTGGCTGGGCACTCCTTGAGGCCGCTCGGCTGACCTCTGGCCCCTCTTCAGGCCCGGGCCCTGGCTGCTCAGGTGGCTTGAGCAGAATCTGGAGAAAATGCTGCCTCAGCCTCCGAAAACCTCTGAGGTAAGTCGAGGAAAAGGGGGAGCAGGCAGCTGACCACCCAGGAAGTGCCTACCTACTCCAGCAGGCTGTCCTCACCCCTGGGACCCACGGAGTGGCTGCAAGAGGGGCAGGGCATTCAGGGGAAGGGTGGGTGGGGCTGGCCGGGGCAGGGAACGCACCTGACCTTCTTTCGTGACGTCACTTCCTGTTTACGACGCAGGGCTGCAGAGATGAGCCTGCAGATGCTACCTTGGGTCCAGGTACAGGGAGGGGACCTGGGAAGGGGCTGCCTGGGATGGTCACAGACTGGGCTGGGGGTACAACTGGGGCCTGAAGGATGCTCGGGGCAGGGTTCAGGGCTTGCAGGGAGCAGGCTGTTGTGGGAGTCCTAAACCCCGCTCCCTGGTCCAGGCTGGGAAGCCAGCCTTGTGAGGTCCTGAACAAGTCCCTTCCCCTCCCTGCACCTCAGCTCTGTGTTTGTCTGATGATGAGGGGCATTGGGGTGGTCCCAAGGGGCTCCCCACTCAGTCACGTTGGCACCTTGAATCTGGACTCCGTGCCCTAGGGGTTGCATGGAGCCCCACCACGTCATCCTTAGTCTCCTGCCCTCCCTGCTGCATAGATCCCCCAGGACCCCCGTTGGAAATGGAGCCCGTTGCGCAGGCCCAGGAGAGCCCCTCCCTGCCTGCTGCTGCCCCCCTGAAGCCTGAGGAGGAGCCGACTCCAGAGCCCCAGCCCGGCATCCAGGCCGCCTCCCTGCCGCCCACCCAGGACTCTGCCAGGTGAGCCTCCCAAATGCCTCTCCTCCCACAAGCAGCAGACTCAGTGCGTGGCCCCAGCCCAACATCTACCAAATGAGTCTTTTAAATTCGAAAAGTAACACATGGGGCTTCCCTGGTGGCGCAGTGCTTGAGAGTCCGCCTGCCGATGCAGGAGACGCGGGTTCGTGCCCCGTTTCGG